AATACCTATATAACTAAAATATAACTTTTGCTGTCTGATAAGTTTAGTCAAATCCCCTCAGGATTTACCCTGGAACCATGTACAGCACACTTGGATCTTTTGTCAGTGTCAGCCGTCTAGATGAGTCACAGCCATTGCTTGACCAATTTGCTCTCTGTGAAAGCCTGAGAATTTTTCTCTCTAGATGACTCTCCTTAGGCACACTATGCATTATCGATCACTTTCCTCTGTGGCCCCATAATCTCCTTGATCACAAAATCTGGGACACCACTGAGTTACAGGGTGTCACAGCAGAGGTTCTCTTATGTCCTGAGTCCTCACTGACCTTGAAGGGCTAGGGCCAAAATATTGGCTATCTTTTTAGCCCATCTATCTGTCTAACTTTTGGTCTGCAACCGTTAGTTGTTAAACATCCAGAAGAGAAGCTTAATGATATTATTATCCTATAACAGAGGCAGTGGAGCTTAACATCACTATCTGTCTGAATATCACATACCTTAGACATAAATGGAGCTGCTATTTTCCAACAACCATGGATGTTCTAAAATTTAAATCTCTATAGAATGTTCAAAACAATTACACATTTTTTACACAGAACTTTAAAAATCAAACCATATACAACATTGTAGCAGGACAATCCTATGACATTTTCTTTCTCTTGTCTCTCATTTACTTTTTTGCCTGCAAGTAATCTTCTTGGACTTGCTTTCCTTATTCAATAATTCAATATTATGCTTCCAGAAATAGTCAATTTTGCTATTGAGTTCATTTTAACATTCGTATGATATTCTGCCTGTGTGATGTCCTGTCCTACAAGACATTTGTACTTTCTTTCATTATTTGTTTTTCTTGCTATGCGCATTGCAGTGATTAGTTACTATGAAGGCCATTTGTGATCAATAACAACAAAGCTGGGACATTAGCTAGCTTCTTCCTAATTCAGTTGCTTCCCGCAAGGAAGAAGAAGAGTGAAAATGATGAATGTCTAGCTTAGAACGTACAGTAAGAATCAAAAGACTTTGTGGCAGCTTCCGAGAAGCTGGCCCTCCTCTGCAGTCGCAGGTTAGGTGCTCCTGAGCCCCACGCCTGGGCCGGATTGGGAGGCCTGCAGTGCTGCAACAGCCGTGAAATTCTCCATTTTATTAGACCACTCAAGATAAAGCAATGGTGCTTGTGAGAAAGCAGTGGATGAGAATATCTTGTCAGTCATGTGGTGCTGACAAATTTGTAGTTCAAAATAGTTGAGTCCCATTGATAAAAGAGATTTCTCTTGTCCTCCCAAATACCATCTTTCTACTGAGTCCAAATTCTCAATGACTAAACCTTGGACAGCTGTCTGACAGACTGCTCTTGAGTCTTCTCGGTCCTCGATCCCTTGTTATTTTATTGCTTGCAGATCCCTGTATGCATCAAATGTCAATGACACAGCATTAGGACGAATACCAGAATAGACAGTGATATCTCAGTTCACAAATGCTTTTGTTTGCCAACAATTTGGTTTGCAAACTGAAGTTTTTGGCAAATTTTTGCTTTTGCTTTCAGATTTTGCATTGGGTAATGAACACAACCATGGCTATCTTTTCTGGAATTGTGGAAGGAATTAAGCTCATGAATCCAGGCACCGCTGTATATTCACCCTGAAATGTTATGAAAAATATTGTGAGAAGTTTGAGAAGCATGTCCAGAATTCCAGTGGTATAATTCAAGATAAAATGTAAGGCTTGACTGAATTCATTGTCATGGGTGTGCTCACAAGGAATTCTAAATTTGATGTGCTGGCTCCAGGCTTCGTGAAGTGTGATGCACTATATCTGGATGTCCTTCCAAAGCCTCATGTGGTCATAGGTAGGGCTTTCTGGAAGGGGCTGGATCTAGGGTGTGTGGTGCCAGCATCAAGGATGCAATGCTGGAACTGATTCCTGGTGTGATGCTAGGCTTAACGCTGCCCACCATAGGTATGAGTGCGGCCCACCCTCAGGGTGGAGAGTCTGGATGGGATACAAGGGACAGAAAGAGGGTCGCTGCTGTTGCTGGTCACTCACTGCTTGCTGCCTCTCTACTTCCTGCCTGCCATGAACTGTGTCTCTTCTTCCACATCTACCCTGCCTTGGAGCCAGACAACTCTGAAATGAGACCTCTATATACTGTGAGCTAAAAATATACTTTTTCTCCATTAACTTGGGTGTTGGATATTTTGTGATAACGAGAAAAGCAGCTAAGACATAATGTTGGTGATACACTGCTATATTGACTGAACAAAGCTCAGAGTCAACAAAAGTCTACTGGTGATTAAACTGAAATGATAGATATTATTTTTCATGTTATATGGTACTTGCCCTCAAACTGTGGCATGCAATGGAATCCAAGAAGGACTTCTAAAAGCATAGATTTCAATATTCCATCCCAGAGTTTCTGAGTCAGACTGAAATCCATAAACAGAATTTTTAACAAATCCCAGGTGATATTGCCATTGTTGTTCCTAGGACCACACTTTGGGAACCAGAACTACAGGCAAAGGCATCTCCGGGATGTTTCCAGTGTATGCAGTGCTTTCAGCAACCCTCTCACCACGCCCTGCAGGGGTCACCAAGGTACTAAGAAATATATCGAGGAGAGTGTATCATTGCACTAGATGTTATGTGATATCACAGATGTCAGAAGATGGCAAGAGATCCTTCAGTAGAATTGGATTCCTTGATATCAGGGGTAAAATTGGAATGTCAAGATGATAGAGGGCTGGCTGAATAGTTCAGTGGATTGAAGTGCCTGTAAGCAGGCACAGGGATCAGGGGTTTGATCCCCAGGCCTGCTGTGCTGGTCCCACTCCCAGGGCATGCTGAGACAGCAATTGAGACTGGGCATTGTGGCGCGCCTGTAATCCCAGCTCTTGGGAGGCTGTAAACAGGCAGATCACCAGGAGTCCAATCTAGTAGTGAGACCCTGAACATCCTCTAGACCCTTCCCTAAAAATACAAAAAAAGAAAAAGATGATAGAAGCTGGGTGGTGGAATTTAGACATTTGAGTCAAGATGAAAGCAAGCATCACAATCAGCTATGGGAAGAGCAGTAACTAGAGTCTTTTCATCCACAGAGATTGTGATGATTAATCTTTTTTTTTCATTTTAATACAGTGTCTACAGGGTCTCACTACATAGATTGGACTTGTAGGGATCCGCCTGTGTTCATCCTTCCAAGAGCTGGGATTACAGGCATGCACCACCTTGCCCAGTTTCAATCCTGATCTCGGTGAGCCCCATAGGCTGGCATGGAAAGCCTGCGATCGAACCCAGCTGCTGTGTCTGCCTAAGCAGGCACTTTAATCCATTGACCTAGTTGGCTGGCCCTGTGATGGTTAATCTTGACTATCAACTTGATTGGCTTGAGAACCAAGTAGCAGAAAGCAACACACTTCTGGGTGTACTTGGGTGGGTCACAGTGCATGATCTTGGGACTATATCTTGCCCCTGGCTCCTTTCCCCCAGGGATCCTATCCATGTTCTGCATCCTGGATGCCAGAAAAAGCATGCTGTAACCACAACTCCACCATGATGTTTCTTCCGTGGAGCCAGCTGACTATGGCTGAATCCTCTGAAACACTGGGTTAAGCAAAACTCTTCCCTTTTAATTCTCAGGCATCAGGTAGTTTGTCCCTGTAGCAGGAAATATGACTAAACAAAGATTGATGGATGGTGACTGATTAAATATTATATTCCCTGGGGAAGAATATAAATGGGCAGCTTCTAAGGCACTCCTTGAAAACTAAACACAGAAAAATTACAGATTTGGTGGGCAAAAACTTAACTTTAGTTACTATGCTGGAGATTCATAATCTCATTCCCAGTTCCTGTATTTAAGCCAGTTTATAGAAGTCAGGTACTAGGGATGGGGCCATAGGTGTGTGCTCTACATCCTTCTCAAAGGTGCTTCCATCCAGGGTACCACATGCTGTGCTGGCCCCAGAACCCCACTGAAATT